AGGTTCGAATCCCGTTGAAGCCCTGATTTTTTTTTTCAGGCTTCTTCTTTCCAATTGCTTAAATTGGAAAATTAACTGCGATGATCATTCTTCACTGTTAGTAAACTTTATTTATTATAATGATTCAATTTAGCACCAACCTTCAAATAAGCACCCCCTTTCCCATTGAGTGCTGCTTTTCTAATAAGCACCCCTACAATAAACGCCCCCTTCCAATAAGCAGGCAAGCACACCCATAGGGAAAGTAACCCTCAATTGACATAGGGTAGACTCATTAGACTAATGAATTACAAAGTCTAGTATCTTACCTGAACGTACTATAACATTGAACATTATGACTACCAGAGTCGTTATTCACTTATTGCTCTACATTTAAAAAGAATGGTAATCAGTGGGACAAAAAGAAGTAGATCCAACTTAAGCCCCACTACATCTTGGCATCGGTAATACCCTGTCCAAGCTATGTACTAATTAGATGGATCCCAAAGAGTATGATTTTTTCAGCTTTTTTGGTAAGCAATGCTTTGTTTCTTTAACCAAGCTTTTTAACTTCAAACAAAAAAGAGATAAATAGGAAGTAACCCAAAAAATATCATTTCATACAAAAAAGTGCAGGACCACTTTTGATGTGCAAATGGCAAAGTTAAAAACAGATATGGAAAATGACTTTTAAAACATGGTCTGAAATAGTGTAAGGAATTGAAGAATTGGGAAACACATCCTCACCAAAACTTCCAAGGAGTACCCTGAAGCTATATATTATTTAATGTATTTAACATTTAAAAGTAGTTACCCTATGGTTCCTTGCCCTGCAGCAACAACTAGATCATTATATGGAGACACAAAGTGCAAATTATTTTCCTGACAGAACAACAACAAAAAAACATTTGCAGTTAGTCAGAGAAGATAAAGGAGTTAAAATGAAGAATAGTCCCTATAGCCCTGAGTTCACGTGTAATTGGCACCAGTTTACAGGTTATATGTGTTTGCTTCTGTATCAAGATCTACTTAGCTGATTATCTGCAGATGCGGTGCAAATTGACCTCATCATCTTCGTTGTCATCGTTGTCATCGTCATTATCATTATCATCTCTTTATGCCAGTGGTCACATAAGGCCTCTGAATTATTTCACAAAGGCTTTTAGAAACTTCTTATTAGACTAAGGATGTATGAAACAATTTTACCTTGGCAACACTCCTTGCTTTAACTTCTGCTTCAACACAGTCTATTCCATGATACACCAAAGTACCACCAAACTGTTTCACTACCTGTAACTTTGCAGGAGAAGTAGTCTTGGGTACATATATAGTAACTGGAATGCAGACTTTGCTTGAGGCGTACGCCTATTAATTACAATGCAAAACAAACCAAAAAGGAGATATTAAACAAACAAATAAATACACAGTCAAATATTTTTTCCACTGCTAAATTACTATCAGTGTCATAGGGTAATTTTTCTTCAAATGAACGTACTTGAATCACTCTTCTGAATAGCCACCATAACTGTCAGAGCAACACACTGGTTACTGTTAGGCAAAATAAAGCAATCTGGAGTAGACCCTAAGAACTGTCAGTTTCCATTAACAGTGTATGAATCAACACAGAAGGTATTTGATTCCATATCAAGTGGCTTCTTATTTGACCGAAATAAATAATTGCTTTAAATCACCAAGGACGGCTGCCCAGTCTTATTAGCCCATTAAGGCAGAAGCATATCACCTAGAAGCGTTTAACCCTGGTTCAATACTGCCGAATATTCCAAACCAATCAAATTTAACTTCCTAATATGGAGCACAGGCTCTTGTGCAGATATCATGTGGACATGTCGTGTACGCGCTTACTACACGCCAGCTTTCGTGAGGAAAGTTGCAACAACCACAACATGTAGTTGACACTAATTACACCTGCTTTCAGTGTTACGTGCATAGCAACTATCTCTCGACATGCCATCTTTCGACATGCTATGTAACCTGGCCTACATCAAAATGTAAGCACAAGTGGCTTCTTTATGGTCGACCTCGACTTTAAGTCCTGAAAGATGGATTTATTTGACATCAAACTAAGGCTAGGAGCATCAAGAAAACATTCTGTGAGTGATAAATCGACTGCTTCAAATGTTTACATCTTTTGAATATTAACTGAGCGGTAGCAGCCCAATTCTACCGGAAGTCACTATTGAGAGCTGATCGAGTACACTAAAATCATTTGAATTATCCCGTAAATCGGGAGTCCACAATCTTCTTCATTCATTTGAGGTCAGTAATTATCATGTACTTGTCATTCGTTCTGCGAATAACTGGAAAAATTGCTAGTTTCACAGGTAAACCGTATTTCAGCCGTTTACACAGCATGTCGAAAGATGGAATGTTGAGAGATGGTCGAAAGATATCGCCTGTGCACATAACACTGAAAGCGGGTGTAATAATTATCGAAAATGTCGAAGGTTAAAAGAAAGCTGACCTTCACAGAGGTTAAATTCAACGATGGAGGACGCTTGCTACCTGCTAAGAGACTGAGACACCATCCCAATGTCAAAAAAGAGTCCAACAGTGATGTACGATCAAGAAACGTGGGTCCTTTCCGTGCCCTGCAAACAGATCTCTCACTTGACCTTTTTATTACTAAAACCAGACTGCTACAACCTTTTATCAATTCAAACTTGCTGGCACAAGACTCCAGATAAACCTTGAAGGTTTCTGCCAACTCACCAGAAACTCCTGCAAATACAACCTACTCTCTCAATTCTTTTCTGTGGCACAAATCTTCCTTTTTTCATGACTGAGAGCCTCTTCCCTTTAGACACCATTTTGAACAGGTTTGTTTGTGAGAGATTCACGCAAGGAGTTTGCAAAAAGAACGCTATTCAGAATTTCCTTATATGGGCAAAAATTAGAAGAGTGATTTTCATTGGTCAGGAATAATCGGCAGCATTGTTTGAAACAGATGAGGGAAATAAAATGCTTCTGAGTGAAATGCTTCTCGCAGCCATGTACTCTTTTAATTTAACTTATTTTTGTTGATTATTTAATTTCTAGCTGAGTACAGATAAAGTTGGTGCTGTTGTTGTTGTTGTTGAGGTTTGTCAAGCCAGCATCAATTACCACTAACTCAACCATACTTCACTGGTGAATTTCTCTTTATCTGAAGAAGACTCCTCCACATTTAGCACCAATGCACTGAGTGACCAATTTCTCTTTGAAATCCTGCTTCAGGATCCTATAGAATATTACACAGCATCTCAACGTAGGATCCTTTCAGGATCATGGGATAAATTTCTACTGCAGACTGGACAACCTATGTATATATGTAACCTTCACTTACTGTGGCTGCACCATGATTTCCAGTAGATGCTGTTATGGCTCCTTCTGTTAAAAGGACATCATCATTCAACTCTTTAAGGGAGAGAAGTTTGTTGAAAGCTCCTCTGAGTTTGAAAGATCCTGTTATCTGCTCACTTTCTGTAATCACGAGTAAAATAATCATGAATATATAGAAACTCAGACTGTTATTGAACAGTAAAGCCTTTTCAAAGTAAGCTTACACTTCTAACAACACTTCCTACAACATAAAACATTAATATACTGGAGTGTCTATAGGAGTGCCAGTTTCAAAGCTCTTTTGACAAGGTATCTCAGTATCCCTTTATGGGTTTGACAACTAAAGCACAAGGGTACCCAACTTAACGGCTCCACTCCACTAGCTTCTACTTAAAATTCCTCCTCATAACAGAACATAAAGTAACCTTCAGAATCACTTGTGAAATAACGAAAGGTCGAGAGACCGAAACTTAGCTCTTAAACACACTATTGGCACCAACCGTAGGAGTCATGTAATTTTACAAAGATCTGTCAAATGTTTACCTCAAAGATGTCAACAATCAGCGATCATGATACCAGGTGGTATCATAGAACGGCGGCCTAGCTTCGTTTGGGCTCACCGGGAGGCCTGTTTGCAGGATAAAAAAGTGATTATTTGTTTTCCACCGGTTTGACCAATTTGTGTTGCTCGACTTCGTCTCGGGAAACATTGACATTCTCGGGAAACAAAATCCACTGTTCCCCCAGGGACCAGTCATTTATTAAGTGTTAAGTATTTTAGCATCTGGCCTATTGTTTTTTGCCTACCTCTTGTACACAGATCGTTACTTTAAAAATGCATGGTGCCATAACATACCCAACCACTGCATTTACACAGCTCCCAAATTTTATAGAACCAATTTCGTAGACTTAGCTTACGTTACTCACCTAATTTAACGTAGACCTTAGATTTTCCTTCGTCACTTAGCCAGGGAGAATATTCCAGAGGAGTTCTTCTAATATATGGCTCTATCCGAGTAGATGCTTGCAAGATGTCTTCAGGCGACAAAGAAGACATCTTGCAATGAATGAGTTGCCAGTAATCGGATACCCGTGTTTGCGCGAAGAACTCTGGGATCGTCAGGGGGCAAACATTGCTAGTCGCTAGAAGGAAATG